AAATCTAGCTTCCAATTCTTTCAATGCTTCATAGTAAGAATCCCCACTGTAACCATACCCTTCAATTGCAGACTTCTCTCTACCAACCACAGAGTTCTGAAGGTGTTGCATCTTTCCATTCAAAGACAAATCAGCATCGTGAACAATTGATTTAGACATCGATGACCGATCAGGCCATTGCAAGGGGTCACCATCAAATTTCTTGAGCTGTAGCTTAGGAAGACTTGAACAGCTATAAGTAACATGTTTCCTCTCAGGACTTGATGCAATATCAGTTTGTGCTGTTTTTGGTAAACGTTCAAGCCAGGATTGGTAAACTGGTGTTGATGTTTTGGACTGTGACGAGCTTTTGGGAACCATGAATGAAACGCTTGGTGTTGGTTTCATAGACATTGGTGATGATGTAACCTGAGTTGCATGTACATTGTACACAGCTCCAGACAGTGGTTAGGACGATGAGGATAATGGCGTAACATGACTTGTTTGTACAGTTTGCGTAAATCCAGACAGTGGGATTAACTCTAGCGAATCATCATCAAAATCCCGGAGACGATTAGGTTAAGACTCAGGGTCATTGTAATGATTAAAGTTTCGTACCTTCTCAAGGTTTTTGGCTTCTGCCGCAAGGCGTGCAGCCTCGTCCTTTGCTTCTTGGGTTTTCCTCCTTTCTTTTGGTTCGAATTCAATTCTTTCAGCCTCGTTACGTGCTTGTTCGATCTTGTGTTTTATCTCCAGCTGTTTCGCAAACTCTTTCTTGCGTCGTTCTTCTTCCATTTCTAGCTGTTTTGCCTTTATTTCTGCCGACACCATTTTGGCGCGAATTTCGGCTACGTGAGAATCTGCTGAGGATTTACTCAGTTTCAGCGAGCTTAACGCGCTATAATTCTCCTCTCTCTTTCCTTTCTTCCAGATTTGCTTCAGCTTCTAATTTCGCTTCCTGAACTCTTTCCAGTTCTTCTTCATACCAGTTAAGGACATTTTCATGTTCCTGTTCCGGGAGCATAGCCAACAGTTGATTGTTTCAAACTTGCGCTTCATTGAACGACTCTTCCAGAATATTTACATAACCACGAATAATAGATTTCCTGCCATATTGCTCTATCATACCTTGTAATTTCTTTAAGGTATTCGTAATTCTTCGTTTTACCACAGCTCTTTTTGTTTTCACAGTTGCAATTGTTGATCTCTCGGCCGATTCCAGTTCACCACTATCGTTTTCATCAGCCATGATTCGTTCGCTTAATTTGCTTGGTTCGCTTTATCCGGCTAGTCAAGGACCAGAAAATTGTTCCCGCAACCAAAAAGTATCCACCAAAACCAAAGTAGAAACAATTGTGGACTGTATTAGTTTCCAAATAAGCTTTACAATCGTATACAGGCGACCATCCAAAATTGTACGAGCGAACAAAAACTAAAGACAAAACCATGTGCTCACATCCGGGTTTTTACACTTAATCATTTCATTTAAGCGTCACTATAATGTCTCATTTGAAAATTGAATAAACAGTGTCTCGTCCATTTCCGGCTGTAACACCACATTTGGACATTTTGTGAATAAAATACCCTCCAGCAATGTACGATGAAAGAAACTACAAATTACCACACCCAGCGACTTTTGGGAGTTTTAATTATTTTGCCAAGCTATCGTTGAGGTACTCCAGAATACATTAAGCATCACTAAACGCTGGAGAGAAAGGCTGGATTTGGAGATAACTTAATCCAGAAACGCGTGAAATAGTGATTTTTGGTAGAAAACACAAAAAGCAACTACGTTTCGCTTAAAATAAAAAATTTCGATCACATCCGTATGTACTAAAAAATGTCGTATCACATGTAGCTATTCACTTGTTGCAGTGCTTTGACCGCTAAACTTCCTCTACGGTTTCAAAGAAAGGCTTGACATTCAAGCTCGTAGCAACACTTCGTCGCTGTATTGTCCTCGTTGAATGTTCCACACAGAAAATATCCAAGCTAATAGACGGCATTCAAAGACCAAAGAAGGCCGACTATAAACACAGCAAATAAGTACGGATGTCAAAGAACCTTTCAAGCGAAAAACAATTGAAATTGCCCGTATTCCCGGAGAGAAATTCAAACGCGAGTTGGGAAAAAAGTGTAAACAAAGCACACTTCAGCGCCAAATCTGCACACGGAAGCCCACGGTGACGCATGCGCACACAAAATGCCCTCCTGTTGTCATTGTAGAGAGGTTTGGCTGTAGAAAAACTGTAGTAAAACATTGCATTTCAAAATCATTCTCATGCATAGGTTTTTCAAATCTTGCCAAGGTAAAGACAACAGTCTAAACTATTAACTCACCAAAGGATTTTCACAGATTATTGCTGGAATCCGAGAAAATTCCCAATTTGTATATTTCATTTCATCGTAACTCTGTTGCTATGGAAGCGGCGATGTCAACAAAACATACTCTAAAATGAAGTTCAATGTGAGATTTGTTGTTTCACTTTGTGGCTTTTTTTACATGCACTATAGCCAAATTTATTGAGACCGTGAAGAATGGGTGCGAGAGTCCTTAAGTGGGAGTCCAAAAGGGCCTCTGTCCAAGCGACCATAAGTGGAGCTGTCCATTGGGGTTAAAACAATACAAACAATTGCTCGATAGCCGTTACATTTTATTGCAAATATTTGTATAAGCAATTTGCGCCAAACCTCGTCAAACAAAATTACAAGTCTCTTCAAAATGTAGTTAAAAGGCCTTTTTTGTTTACTGTTGACTGTCACCACAACAAGCTTCCAGCTAGAGATCACAATCTTCAGTGTGAAAGCACTTTAGCTACCAAAGAGAAAACTAAACTTAAGAAGCTTCTGAAATGTAAGCTAAAGAAAAGAGCTCTCTGGTGATGTTTTGACTGATTATTTTCTAACGAGCAAAGCTATCTTGGAATTAAATATTAGCCGAACCTCCACTACAGCCACCTCTCTACAACGGCGACTTTGTAATTTGATTCGTACAGCCCATCGATGAACGAAGAACTCGTCCAAGCTTAAAGGGGCTGTGTCACGGCAGTCCAGTTCATTTTGTTTAATTTTGCCAATTGCTCGCCCTCAATCGCTATGGAACTTAAACTAAGCAAAGAAATTACATGTAAATGACAAAATCAGAGATCCGAGACAAACAAATGTCTCCTGAGCGTTATTTTTGAAGTTGCAAGCAGCAGGGATCAACTTTGAACAACTGTTAGGCTGAACAGTTTTCAAAAACCCTAATTTCAATCCGTTTCAATCTTCTTCATTTTTGCCCATCCGTGGCATCTGTTATTTCTGTTATGTTATTTTAACCTTCCTTTAAAGTTTTAAGCGGTTATTTTTATGTTTCTCTTAATTAAATGGGCATTTTGTAATTTCCTAATTTGGCTGAATTTCGTGACACAGCTCCTTTAACAAGTCACCAAATTGCTTAGCAAAAATACGTGACATCTCGCTGTAGCAGACAACTCTTGACAGCTTTATTTCACTTAAAATTCTAAACGCGAACGTTGTATAAACTGATGCAGTAATCGACATTTTGGTCTTCGGAACATTACTTTTCTATATCCATTTTAACCCTTTGACACCCGGCACTTTTTACGTTTTCGAGTGCTTTCTACTTACAAACAATCGATATGATTTGGTGACTGTATTTGGGGTTACCATGGAAGTTGGTGCTATTCTGAAGCAATGAAGGCTCGAGTTGTCTGGAAACGTCATTCTGACAGTCATTTTGCTTCGTTGAGATTTGATAACTCCTGGAGGTTGGGTTGTATGCCATTTTTGGTAAGTTTACAGCCATTTTTCATCTTTACTAGCTGCCTGATGAGCATCATTAAGCAAGACGGTAGCTAAGAGTCCACTTTCTCGAAGAAGTAAGTAAGGTGATATACTTCGTTTGCGAAGTTGGCTTGGGAACTGAAAAAATGGCCGCTCTGAAACGAAGTATCTTGGGACTCGACTGCTGATGAATTTCTTGACCTACCACGGCATATTTTGGAATTTGCAACCACTGAAAATCACAAGCGCGAAATATCCGTGGCTGTGGACTTGAGAAAAGAGGGGGAAGGAGTGAATGCTGTCAAGAATTCTGGCTATTTCCCAGCATGCAGTGCAGTTGTGATGTTGAAAATTGAGAGATTAAACGAGACTTTACCTCTAAGTTGAAGTTTGATCGGAATTCTATCGAGTCATAAAACTGCACCAAGGAATCACAAATGTGATCCCTTGGTGCAGTTTGATGACCAGGGATGTCATTAAGGTTTCAAGTAGCAGGTCTCTGGCGAAAAGTAACCAGTCATTTATCCCTTAAATTCTTCTTTGCTTGTAATGTTTGATTTAATTAGAAACTTTGAGTAGCCGGTTGATTTTACTAGAGTAGCCTGTAAATAAATAAAGCCCGCTAGCGATAGCCCGGGACGACTCGACAGAATTCTGATCAAACTTCAACTTACAGGTTAGTCTCGTTTATCTCTCAATGTTATCTCGTCATCACTGCAAAGGGATCCTATAAGATTTTAAGGCTAAGACTGTCACATGAGAAACAAACAAACCTCAATAATTTACAGCCGTGGAAACCCCATAAAGCTATATGGTAATAAATGTTTTGAACGCAACTGAGCAGGTGCAACAATAAGTAAGTAATAGAAACTAGTATCAGCTGCTGCAATTTTTTACCAACAACTTAGCATTCAACTTAAGTATAACAGTGTCCCTCATAAACAGTAGCTAGGCAAATACTGCAACATAAAAGACCACAACAGGTTGCTACAACTTAAATTAAACTGAGATATATGAGAAAACGTCTTTAGTACAACCTTCTCTAAGCAAAGCACTCAAGTATCAGTGGTCGAAAACCCAATGGTAAAATAAACTCTACCAAAGTTAAGTCAGTATGAAGGACTGCCGAAGCAAAAGATACAGGTTTTTCATAGAAACGATCAAATGATCTGGTAGAAGACCAGCCTGCTGTCTTTAAGATCTCATCCATTGGCTCACATGCTGATTTGGCTCTAGAGGTGGCGGCAGACCTGGCGCTGTCGTTTGAATGATGCAATGTCAATACCAGCAGAAGACAAGAGATAGCTCTGTGTGGCTTGGTGAAGGTAATAAATAAGCTCTTTTCTGTTCCTCTGAGGGGTTGTGTCCGCTAGGTACTCTTTCAGGCATGTAAAGACACAAGGGGATTTGTCATCAGGGTATGCGTGCAGGATAACTAGTGGTGGATTATAGCCAGGCCTACTCTGTTTGATGTGAGCCGGCAATGCACACTCAATACTTGTAGAGGAATCCTTCATAAAAGCAATGTTAAGCATGTGGAGAGTTTGGCCTCTCTGTGCCGAGACTAGGGCAACTGACAAGGTTACTTTCAAAGTTAGGGACTTGAGATCTAAGTTTTCTGTAGGGCCCAATCCTGAAAGGTACGACAAAACTGGCTGTACATCCCAAATGTTCTGATACCGACGGGCTGGTTGTGTTTGCCTATAGATCCCTCTCGTGAACCTTGATATAATCGGATGGCTGCCTGTTGATATAGTGATTGCAGAAATGGCACCTCTGGCTGTGTGAAGTGTCCCCGTTCGTGCAGCACAACTAGAAAATTTAACACGGTTGTCACGGATGGGTTGTAGGGATTCTCCTGTTGTTCACCACAAAACGTAAGCCATCTCCTTAGCTATGGATGGTACTGTTTCTGTGTTGCAACTGACCATGAGTGAAGGATAATTTCTATAGGAAACCCTGCCTGAGACTCTGCAAGCCATCCGTCGAAGTCGTTTCCGTAAGGGATGCAGTTCACCGCTGTGAGGGTGTGTTAGTAGATTGTTGAATTGAGATAGACGAAAAGGTTTGTTTATCAGAAGACGCAAGAGGGTTGTAAACCACAGTTGTGTTTGGCAAATGGGAACCAAGATCACACCTGTTGCTTAGTTGAATTCTATCTTCTGCAGGCACAATGCAACGCTGAAAGGTAGAAAACAGTAAAGATATAAATTGGCCCAATCATATGGAAAGCATTCACGCTTTGCACCAGGGTCAGGCTTTCATGATACATAGGCTGGGACCTTATCATTCAACCTAGATGCAAACAAGTCAATTTGGAAAGGCCCCCACTTACTGCTAATATCTTCAAATACTCTCATGTTAAAGGGCCATTCAATGGAGCCATCAAAATTCCTCGACCCACCGTCTGCAACCTTGTTGCTTGTGCCTGGAGGTGGCATGCACTGAGCCTAATATTTCTGCCAAAGCTGTAAAGCCATTTCATTACAAACAGTTGATTTGATGCCCCCCATCGCATTAATATATGCTACTGTGGTAGACCACCCCTACTGTTAGGGAGGTGGCCCAGGTTATAGAGATGATGGTATCCAGCTTTAGGGAGTTACATTACAAACGGGAAGAACAGAGCACGATTCTTGCTTTACAAACAAGCAGGGGTGACTATGATGCACCTATGAGCTTAACAAATGAGGCCAAACTAGATTTACATTGGTAGGTTGATGTCACTTTGTCCTTTAAACCCATAATGAAATCCACTCCTGACATAACCCTCACCACTGATGCCTCTAAAACGGGTTAGGGAGCAGTTTGTGAGGGAAGGCGAAGTGGAGGGCTTTGGAGCCTTGGTGAAAAATCTTCCCACATTAATTTCTTGGAGATGAAAGCGGTGTTGTTTGGCCCGGAGTCCTTGTGCAAGGATCTAAGAGTGGCATAACAGGTTCTCACATGCCTGTTGAACATTAATAGCTTTTCCGGGTGGAAGTGGGATGGTCATGGAGTCACTATTCAGCAGAAACCCACGAAATTATTTTTCTTGTGTGGGTACAAACACTGATTCAGGGACAGGTCCCTTTAGAGCAAATTTTAATACCTTCAAAATTTTTGCTGATAATTTTTTGAGATTGAAATATCTAGGTTCCAAATTTTGGGATGGGTCGCATTAAACAAAATTATCATTTTCAAAACCCCGGTGATTGAGGTAAACATCAATCATGTAAATAATTTCATCATCAAGGAGAGCTCGTGTTTACTCACTTCACGAAGCATCAAGCGAAAATGGATCGTCGCCATATGGTTTATTTTCGCGGCATTCGGCTTTTTCTTGGATCTTTTGTATTTGTGGCAATAAAATGCCATTGCAGTTTTAGTAGTGGTCATGGGATATCAACAGGCCTTCCTGCAATGTAGATTGCGCCTCAGTCGACATCGACTACGAAAACTTTCATGAGCTTGGACTTTACTGCAACCAGAATAGTCGTGATTTGAGATACGTTTTCTCGACAGAACCACTCCCGGAGAGCACTTTTGACAGCAGTTGAGAATAGACAGAGACCTTTCAAGCCCCTATTGGACTGGGACTATGGTTAACCAGGCATAACCCGCGATTCAGGGACTGCATTTCACCAGAAAAGGATCTGGCAAATACAGACATTTCGAGACCTGTCTCGAGTGCCGAACATCGTTGGAGCAATCGATAGCACTCATATAAGTAATAGTCTGGGAGCATATGTCAAGAAATAAAGTTCCGTGGGATTTTTGTGAAAAAAGCAAGCCACCTATCTAGATGTGTTAAGGGGAATCTAAGGAACATAAAAAATGTTGCCGGCAATTTTTTAACAAAATTGCTTAACAGATACGTTCTCAAGTCAGATACACTATTATGTGTCATAGGAGTAATTCTGATAACAATCTGTTGAAATGAAAGATAGTTTTCAGGTACTTTAAGGTCCAGCCTCGTGTCCATGCTAGAATTGAAACGTCACATTATAAATCCACCCTTGTGGCCATCGGTGCAAGTTACAAAATTGCCGACAACAGTTTTTATGTTCCTTAGAGTCCCCTTAACACAGCTAGACAGGTGGCTTGCTTTTTTCACAAAATTCCCACGGGATTACAGATGCTCCCAGACTATAAATGCACCTCGTGAAGACTTTGGCATTCAGGCAGTAGCAGATGGGAACATGCTCTTTCTGGATTTTTCTACTGGCTATCCAGGAAGTATGCATGATGCCGTTATCTTGCAGAACAGCACATTATATCAAAGAGCTGAACCAGGAGACATACTTACTGGTCCTGTAGTTGATGTGGATGACCACGAAATTGGCCCATATTTACTAGGTGACAGTGCTTACCTGATATCTCTGTGACTGCAAAAGCCATTCCCGGAGGCAACAAGGGAACGGTCTGAAATTCAGTTTAACTGCGAGCTATGAGTGCTAGGGTCAAAGTAGAGTGCACATTTGGCTTCCTGAAATCTTGGTGGAGAATTTAACAAAAGCGACTTGATAGCGATATTCTCTGTCAAAACCGCCATTACCTGTGCTCTATTGCACAACTATTGTATCAAAATAGGAGACGATTGGGATGACGATGGAAATCCTGATCACCATGTTTGTCCTAATGACAACGAAGGTGTTGTAGGAGATGGAGACGAAATCAGAGGCATCTTAAAGGAATTTCTTTAGTCTGCACGACTTCTTTTTCTTGTGTTTTTTTCGTGTTGCTTCTTACCTCCTTCTTCTCTTGCTCCCCTGCATCTCCGCTTCAGACACATGGCTCCACGTAACAATGTCAAGGCAGCCCAAGACAGCTTTGTTTCTTAGAGCCTCCAGACTGGTTCCTGTTCCATTCCTTTGCCTCTTTATATCGGTCGGTTAAATATTTCATTTTCTTGATGCACTTCTCAATGGTCTTGCTGGTTTCCATGCATGCATTGACGTCCTCACAGATTTTCGTCCATGTCGTCTGTGACTCTCGACTTTGCGGTAATTGGTGGTTTTCTGCCCATAACTGAATAAGCAGTCGTTTTTGGGCTTGGCTCCAGGTGTCGTATTTTTTCCCTTTTTTCTTATTGCTTTCACTCAGCTCTGTGAGGCTTCCAGCATTGCTTGGCTCTTCGACAGGTGTAATCGACGACCTAGGGGAACTCGATCTTGATGCATGTCTCTGCTGTTCTTTGCCGAAATAACGCCAATGAAATCGGTTTCAATTCTCAGGATAGGATCCGTAGACGTACACTGGATATGAGTTATCATAATTTCCGTTCCTGTTGTACAAATAAGTGAAAGAGGCACAGGGATCAGGGAAAAAAGTTATTTTACCCCGCCATTGCGCTCGTGAAATTTCTCGCCTAAATTTAAGACCAAAACAACTATGGGTGAATGACAGCTTAATGCTTTAATAAACAAGAATTGCTTCCATTGCCAAAATTTGGTAGCCTCCGAAGCAGCACTTCGGCTTCTTTGAAGATTGGCGGAATTTTAGCTCTCTGCAAAAAAATTGGTCATTTTTTAGAATGTGGGGTCGCACTTATTTCTTGTCATGCATTGACAGATTAACTACTTAAATAAACCAAATTCGCTCTAGTGCGACCTGGGCCTTAGTGGGATGAATAACAAACCCCAGACGCAAACTGGTAATAATTTCCCCTCCATTTAAACTTAACAATCCTCTTCTGCCACAAGGATAGAATAGTAAGCGTCTTAAGATCAATTGATGCTATAAAGCATCCCGGTCACATAAGCTGAAGGGCAGCGCAGATGGTATCCATTTTAAGATGGTAGTATGCAAGAAACTCATCGAGGGATTTAAGATTGAGAATGAGTCTGTGACTCCCATCTTTCTTTGGTTGCACAAAAATGGTGGAAATGAAATCACCTTGAAAAGGTTCAGATGGTTCTTTTGGAGAAGAGTTTTGCAATTTCCCTATCAATGATCTCTTTTTCCACAAATGAAAAAGTGACAGCCATCCTCAAATTCTAACGCTTGATGCCATCAAGAATAACTTGATCAGTGGTAACTGATTTCCAGTTGGCTATATGGTCCTTAACTCACCCTGCTGGAAAATTAAGGACCAATTAAGATAGGCAGTCTCAACAATATGTGTTATCTGTTGTTTGACCTCATTAGGTATTGATCCTTCCGGAGAGGGATTTGTTGTGGGCAGTCGTTGGTGCGCGGCTGTTGGCTAAAAAAGCCCTTTGTGGGTTAGAATTTTGTGTGCAGGTTGCCCTTGTGTCCTATATTAGGGCTTTGTGAAGTGTGGCCTCTTGAACCTCTGCTTTGGGGCCCGGCAGCCCTGATTTGAAGTGCAGGCAGTAGGCGCTTTTTTGCATCTGTATAAACGCCATTTTTACGTCAGCCATATCCTTGAGATGTTTGGAGGGATCATCCCCAAAAAACTTGATTGAAGGTTTTATATCCTACTTACATAGCCGGGTATAAGATGGACTTAGCTCAGGTTTGATGAGTTCCTGTCTCTTCATATTAAGCTTCTAATTTGCATTGCAGAGCAAAGCAATGCTATCCATGATAACAGTGACAGTTTTCCTCGTATCAGGTGTTTCACCAGACTGAATGGAGCTCACTAGCTTTCCACTCAAAACACATAAAGCAGACAGGTCCGGTAATAGAAGTTCCTGTACTATCCACTGTTCGGCTCCGCCGAGGGAGTGAGTCCCAAACCTCCTGCTGAGGTACTTTATATTTTCCGGTGAAGGTTACTTTCGACGCTCTCTTTGACTGTGTTAGCCGAGAGGCCACCCGTAAGCATGTTTTCAATGAGCTCTGCAATTTTTGCCTTACTAAGTGGAGATTTCTTCGTATTTGGTAGATATGCCTGAGTCAGGTTTTCAACGATGTTACTTTGGCTCTGACGCTCTGGATCGGAGCGGTTGTCAGAAACCACATTTGTCGTAGGTTCTGCTCTTCGATTGCTGAATCGTCTTAGAGAAGGAGGTCTTCTTTAAGACCGGCCAGGGCTGCTGTATGGGCTTGAGAAGCCTCCGTTAATTTTGCCACGGCAATAGTCAAATTCGCCAGCAAGTTCGCGATGTCGGTCTGATTCTGTTCGTGCAATTCGGGCGACGGCCTCATTGAAATTTCCCTTGAGCGACCCCCTCACCGTGTCTACCCTTAGTTCCTTTGGCACTCTCCAAGCCAAAATCAAGCGAACATTTGCCTCCTAAGAGCAAAGCTGTAAAATTGATATATCGCCCACCAAAAGCACTGATTGTGCGCATGCGCCTAACTATCTCATGAGATCCCTGGGAAAGAGGTTGAAGGGCCACCTCTCCTCAACAGTCACTTTCTTTTGTCCCCAAGGTGGCCATTGATATTTAACTGCAGTTTTAAAAACACATGAAAACTGTAGACTTCTAAGACGCGCAACCTTATCTACTTCATGTGCCATGACTCGAGAAGAAGGCTGGAGTTGGTCAGC